CGGGGACTCACAGGTATTCATTTAAACTCCCGCCTTAATTCCCCGCTAGCAGAGCATTTGGCTGTACGGCAAAAGTCTTCACATGGTGAAAAGTTCTCGCTGGTGCGCCGGGGTACCCCAGATGCTTTTGTCTTAGGGTTGTTTAGCAGCTGTGAAAAAAGCAGGCGAGGACAAAGACGTATCTGTGGAGGGTTGAATACGCTCAGCGGGCACACAGCCAACAGCTCAACCCTACAGACTCCTACAGCTGAAAAGCAGACTAATGCAGTCTGCTCTCACTCCTCACAGATGATCTTGCAGGGGAATTAGCCGGAGGCCCTATTATTTCTTCTCGTTTCCCCTGTCACATCTGCACTGCAGTCACGTCTAAGTGCCAAATAAGCATCTAACACAGAAGCTTTAGCACCTTTGAAATAATACCAACATTGATGCACTTTACCGTAAAATAGGAAGAATTAATTCATTGTGTTAAAGAACACAAAGAAGACATCTTAGCTGACCGACACACAGTGTGGATCCATATTCACGTTACGTATTTGACAATACGGGTGTCTGAAGGGAGATTTGAAAGCCCGGATTTGCATTCACTGCTTGGAAGTAAGGTTTTTATATTAGAACAAGGGGAAAGCCTTGATGAAAATGGGTCAAGCACCACTTACTTCTGAAGGAAATTAAGAGGAGATATTTTAATGGACTCCAAACCCTCCGCATACCAAGGACTGACAACACAGGGACTACATACCATACATTTTGCAGATCGGTTCAACAAACACAGGACTTTCACCCAGGAGACTGTTCATGTTAGATGTGAAACAAAAAGTCAACACTGACATTTGTCACATTAACCATGCTGGAAAGTCTCTAGAAAGGATGAAAAATTAGTGAAAGATTAATGGGTAAGCACCTTTAATAAAAGCTTTGCTAAAAGTTAACATAAACCACAATTGTTTTCTTTCACCGGAGTCATTGAGTTTTGTTTTTTTCCCAAAACTAACTTCCTATGAGGACGAGTTTGACTTTGAAAAGACGCTTGTAAAACTAGACGCTGGAGGACGTAGAGTGTCATAGCTTGAAGTTTCGGGCCACCGACCAAGACTTAGTATTTGTCAAGTTGGGAGCGAGAATATGTTGTCAGAGTAGAATTATTAGTTTAGCCCCTAACCTTGATTATCATCTATTTACTTGTTGACCAAATACTGGACGAGGAAAATAGGTCATTCTGTGAAAACATTATTGATTGTTAATCAATGTCCCCTGCTGATGGAATTTGGAGAGAGTGAATGAAGGCATAACGGAATTTATTTTGCTGCTGTAGAACAGTTTATCTAATATTTCCCACAGACCTATTACCCGACTCAACAAAAAACTGATACATTGCAGATTTACCATCAAAGATCCCCTCTGCACCATATGCACAGGCACTGGTACACAAATCTTATAATAAACCAATGAAAGAAAGAAAAGATGCATGTATTTGACACTTTAACCCTGACAATCTTGGAGGTACAATAAAGACCAGATGGCATCTTTGTCATATTGTAGTGTACCACACCAAAGCCTGCGGCGTTTTGCATATAAGGACTTTCACAGATGTAAATGCCATCCTGTTCTTACCATGTGGCCGTTTGAATGTGACATCCGTCTAACAAGGACAAACATGCGCGCACGCACACACACGCGCGCGCACACACGTACACAGAGTTACCCACGCAACCACTTTCATCTCTTCTGTTCAACTGTGAATAGGCTTTTAGTAGAAGTGACAGCCAAGGCCCATGCTTCAACAAGCATTCGCACTCAGGAACTCCTATTCCTATCATTTCATGTCACAATACTCAATGGCCCCCTTTGTAGTCGGAGGAGTTATTACGCTCAACAAATTATCATGACTGCTCTGGCAGAGCTGCGGGGCTGGAGGGAAACAAACAAATGATAAAGGCGGAGGAAAGCAGTGATGAGAGAGGAAAGGAAACCCAGACCGAGAGGAGGAAATACAGTGTAGCAAGGAAAGCAGTAGATGAATGAGGTCTTGATTGAACTAACTGGTTCTCTTTTACTTTCTGTTTTTGAGCTGCTCATTTGCAAAAAGTTTTGTATGGGCCTCATCTGCTGTATAATTCCCAAATAGGCTCGGTTGTGTCTTATGCCAAATGGAAAGAAGCCCAGAAATCACGTAACTCTTGACAGCAACTACCTCATTATGGAGGATTTTCACTGTTATGAATGATTGCAAACCCATGACAAAATGCAATTTATGTATTACTGATGGTGATATAAAAATATTGGGACCAGTCGTTAAAAAAAATGATTTTTAGCGCCTCCTTTAATTGGATTGAAATCAGATACATTCATGACGGGAATCTCTTTGGAGTTAGGAACAGAACGCTTTGAATGAAACAAACAAAAACAAAACAGGAAAGTTCCATTTCGACCTCAGGACCCTGTGACTCACCCCCCCCACCCCACATGTATCTCTTGGAAACAGAAGCAGGCCTGCAACATGCCTGTGAGGAGCATTTCGTTCATGACTCAACTAAAAGCAGGGGGAATATATATATCTGACTCTCTGTTGTTGATTCGGCTCGGCGTTAGCAGTCATGGGCCCTTCCTCTCCTCAGCCTCGGGATGCAGAGTCACAGCACATGTGCCATGGGACAAAGAGCACTGCTGATGTGTGGGATAAATAATCGGACGCTTTCCGGACATCCCAGTTCAGAGGGAGGAGGAATAGACGCGGAAGAGCACGAGACAGCCGACGCATTGGAGACACATGTAAAAAATCATTATGAAGGACAACGTTCGACCCCAAATCATTGAAGAACAGAATCAGTCCAAAAAAAGGTCTTCACCATTAAAAGAGACTAACATTTGACATCAGCATCCCATGTGTCGGTTACAGTTAACAGCGAGATATTTAACTGTCAACTTTTTTTTCTGGAAATACTCAAAACACTTCTGGTCTGGTTTGCATCCTCACCCCTGTGACCTTTTCCACAAGACCACCGTGCTGGATACATTCTGACTAGATGGGTGCGTGAGTTTCCACAAGGAAAAACAAGTTTCCATCTTCTGCTACTTTATTTTTTGCAATCACAATCTGGCTCCAGGAAGAACAGACATACTTTTTGTAATTTGCTGTTTTTGAGTAGTTGAATCTTCTGTTATAAGACATCTTTAAATGCCAAGTCTTCCACGCTAAGCTGTTTTCCATTGTGAAAAATGAAATGCATGAACTGAAGCTAAAGACAAACTGTTGGGCTTTCTATGTGGTGCTGCTTTACTTGGCAAAATGAGTATGATTTTCACACCCATTTTTGTCTTCATGGCTATTCTCTGCAGATGTTTGGTTCAAAAACAAAACATCTACGAAGAACCGAAGCCACGATTCTTTCCAGTGTGTTTGGTTATCAAGTAACTCTTGGTAACCAAACACTCTTTGGTGAGTAACGGTCACAGAAACACCGAGAACCTAAAAAAGGTATTTGTGGAAACTGACTTGCTGTCTCCCTCTTAGCGGAGCACAGTGGAGCGAGGCCAAGCCGTCCTCCCACGTCCCCCCGCACAGGCCGATGCACTGTTACACAGAGGAGAACGTCTCCTGCAAACATGTGGCCCCTTCTGCGAGGTGAAGGTTACTGTGAAACTGAATCAGACGTAGGTTCTACAGCTTCTGAACGACGTCGTCACTGCTCGCCTCCAAACACAGTCGCCGTCCAGACGTCCTGTTTGTTTGGGGCCGGACGGACTCACGGACAATCCATTTTCTATCGTCAAAGCTGTTTCACGTGAAGCGGCAAATCACCGCACGGCAGAATGTGCTCACTTTCTCCGACTCAACAAAAGGAAAACTCTACAGCAAATAGCAATTTAAAAAAAAGAAGATTCTTCTCACCCCCCCTCCCCCCCAACGAAAAGCTGCTTTTCCTGAAAGGGTGATGGAAAATGTTTGAGTTCAAAAATGGGGGTTTTAGCAAGTGGACATGCGGGGTTTATTGTCATGCAGAGTTATATCCTCCGGGCAGACAGGGATAGAGAGGGTCTCTCGGGAATTAGTTCACATGGCATCTGCAGTGCTGTGAACTTCTCCCTCTACATTAAGAGCCCACTGAAGTCGCACAAAGGAGCAGCTCCAAATTAGAGGCACAAAGACGCCTCTGTGAGCGCTTCAGAGCGAATTAATGAGCATTGATACACATTCGAACACGGCGTCCTTTGCTGGCCTCAGCTGTGCCTCGGCAAAGAAACACAAGCCAATGAATACTTCCAACAAAAAATCTCAGATGCTCAAATTATTGGATGAGTTATTTTTACTGCGAACCCCATGGCGAGATGAGGCCTTTTCCATGTCAACTACCCCATCTGCTCCATAGTTTATCACTCTTCCAAAGTTAAAGCTGGCGAGAAGTTACACACAAAGCCTGCAGGCTTCAGCCATGGAGCATCTGACTGACACAATGTGTTGCCAGTTCGTTTTGTTTTTCCATTCGTTACCAGCGGAGCATGCTGTGCAGTTTGTTTTTTGGTTTTAAATACCTTTTTTTTTATTACAGTCCTTATCAAAACGCATCAACACGACCCACCACTGCTGGCCAACAATGAGCACAGAGCAAAGTCCTGTTTTCATCAAACTGCTCGTGCGTCCTGAGCACAGAGGCCCGGCTGAAAGCAACAGTGGAGGAGGCGCATTGATCTGGATTTAACACCTTCCGCAGACTCGCGCAGAATGCCGGCGGATTTAATCTCTCTAATCGCTTTTGCTCAGGTTGCTTCGGGCAGGCTTGTCCCGAGGTCCGGTAAACAGCTTCTCTGCAGCCCGACCGCGAACTACAATAATCGGCGTGGCCAGAAAAAGTTTGTGCGACAGCAACAAAGTGTAAAAACAATGCCGCGATTATGAAGGAACAAAAAAAAAAGAAAGAATAATGAAAAACGGCGAGAGTGAATTCCGTATACGAGCTACCGGAGCATTTTGAGGTTAAAACAAGTAGATAGCAACGTACCCATTGTTGTTAGTTTCCCAAAGTGTCCGAAGTGAAGCGATCAGAGGAACGATGAGCCCCTGATGTTGCGTCCCGGGATGAACACTGGCCGAACGCACGACGCCGCGCGACGCTTTGGAGACAGCCAGGGTGACGTCACTCCGGACGGGGATTACTGATGGGAGGACGCCCCCCCCCCCTCACCTCCCCCCTCCCTTCGACCACCAAGACCCTCATCCTTTTTTCACTGGTCCCGATTAGACACGAGAGACAATGCGCGGATTATCGTGAACATTATCAGGGAGTTGATCAGATGAGCTGATTTCGATAAAGACGATTGCTCTTACTATGAATGCGATTGATCTCTACGAATAGCAGGGCCAATGTCGAGGTGTTGTCAAGTCATTTGTTGTCAGATCAGGGTGTCAGATAGCACTCATTATATTGCAAAATCAGGAATGATTCTAATCATCACACCTCAGTCCGACTTGAGTAGTGGTTTCTCAGAAAAATAGATCACCAAGAATGTTAAACAACACAGTGCTTTTCTGAAGGAATATTTCCAGATCCTAAAAACCATCTAACCATCTGGAATTAAAAAAAACATCCTAATAAAAACATTTTAACCTGTCAGGAAAAATATGAAGACGTTATTTTCAATGATAAGTAAAAAAAAAATATATATATATATATATAAAATATATATATATATATATATGAGAGAGAGAGAGATGTGATAAAAAGTTAGATCCCCACATGGTCTGAACTGACCTATTATGAGTGAAACAAAAAGAAAACCCAAGTAATCTGATTTCCAAATGCCCTACATGCATATACATTAATGTGGGTGAATGAGGTTGTCTGATTTTTAAGATATTTCTCATCTCTGACACGGAGTGGGATGAATTGCAGTCTCATTTTACAAAGAGGAGGAAAACATTGCAAGTCTCCATCAATCCAGTGCGATAGTATCCGGTATCCTAGGAGTCCTGAGCACCCCCAATCCAATTCCATCTTTTCACTGGTGGCCAAGTGGCAACTCTCAAAGGGTTGTTTCATGGCCAAACAGGGCATCTGCCCAACCTGGCGTACACAAAAGCCCCCTAAAGGCAAATATTTAACTGGTCAACTTCAACATTACAAAGACAATATCACTATTTTATCGTCTAACACTGTTTTTTTTCCGTTTCTGTTTGCATTCAATAGTTTGGGTTTGTAATTAAAGCACAAGCACTGTTTGTTTTTTTATCGTAAATCTGCTTGCGCAAATGTCCAAAAAAAACTGATTTTCAGTCCCCACACTCTCCAAACATATTTCACCTCAAACAAAGTCACCATGACAACCTGGCCAAAGAGGTCTTGGTCATTTGTATTAAATACATTTTAATTTCTATTTTTTGTAGCTAGTCTCTCCACATGCTGTATGTCTGTGTGCATAAGCTGCATGGCAGCGTGACAGAATGGACGACCTGCATGGGAACATTCCAGCTCGGCAGCTGGCAGACAGCCGGCATGCAACTGTTATTCGGTTGGACCGGGGGAAAACAAAAAGCATCAGGCGAAGCCTTTTCATCTGACGTTACACAGTATGCATATGGTCATGTGACTTATGGGCAATATGCTCTGCACATGACACTGTAATTCAGTGGGCGGTGCTATAAACTGCAGAAAACCTTCAATGTTGCTCAGGATGTTGGTTATTTTTGTTAATTGAGATGCAGACTTGAATAATAAGAGTGTAAATACAACAATGTCGGTGTAGCTATAGCTATAGTTTTTGTGTTTCTCATAATTAAAACTACATGCCTTTAGTAATTACTTTCAGAACCAATCAGCTATCGGCAATGAATAAGCCTGTGGAAGCAAGGAGCTACATTTGTGGGTTCCGATATAGCCGGTGGATACCTCTCCGATTAATAATCTATACGGAAACACTTGAAATCAAGTGTGATATTAATGCATAATTAATAAGTGAAACAAAAACACTGCAAATGTCCATCTTGCAAAGTAGATCCAGCACAGACTTTTGACAAAAGCTGTTTGGGGCGGTCAGCACAAGGGTTTATTGAGTGTTTGATTGACACCTGAAATATGACAGAGATGACAGAGCATATCTTAAAGCTATTTAGTTTTCTCTAATTCATGTTATGTTTCCAAATTACGATAAAGCAATTGAGTGCAACAGAGGCAGGAGTGAGCTTATCCAGCTGCTTCTAATTGCAAATAAAGAAAAGCTGCTGACGTTCTGCACCCAGACTCCTCCATGGTCACAAACCAGTGAGAAAATGTTTGACACGGTGAATGGGCTCAAAATGAGAGTCGTTGAGGGAGATGTTGGTGTCAGACAGAATGTCAGATCACTTGGTTGGACAGTTCTGGCTTGCAAAGTGCTTATAATTCCACATTGCATCACATGCATAACAAAAAAATGTGCTCATATCTGTGCTGAGAGCGCACAAAAGAGTTTCAAAATAATACAAAGCATCACATGATATCTTTTCTCCGGGAGATATGCAGAATATGTGTTGAAGATAATTCACTTGATTACTTCAGTTGTTCTAGATAACCTTCTTGGGTAAACAGATGTTACAACATGTGTCAGAAAACACTCAGTTTGGTGAAAAGCCTCAAACTTCTTCCCGGTCCAACGTTTTGAGGTTCAATCTGTGTTTTGCTGTTTTACTATAACGTCCCTTATTGTTGGTAGTATTCAATAAGTTTTACTTATTGTGCCTTCATTCTTTGTCTCAGAGATAGTAGTCGTTTTGTTCATTTATTGATGAAGCCTGGCTGTGACTGATCAATATATTCTCTGTGAAACAGTCAATTCAGTGTCATGTTGTCTGGTGAAAAAGATCTCCCACATCGCTGACTTTGATGTTTGAAGACTGTTCGACGAAATTCACTCAAACTCACCAAACCTTCTCAAAATGCACGTTGTTCATTTGAACACAAGCACAACTCAACAGAAAATGAGTGCGAGTGTATATAACCACAGCACGTTTCCCTTTGAACCTCTGAATACAACCTCTGCTTTGGACTTTGTCCTTGTGGTGATGTGAACCACAAAAGTGTGGTTGAGTGTGGACAACGTTCCATTGGAAATATATTCTTTATCCACAAAAGGCAATCGAAAGAGTTCAATAATGTCGACTTCCCTGTAAAACTCTGCAAACAAATGCCCCTTCAGGACAAAGTATTCTTAAATGTTTTATCCAATGTTAATCTCCAGCCTGACAGTTGATCTCTGAGTATGTCAACTTTTATTGGCTCTTTACGTCTGTGATTAAGTGTGCTCTCGATCGAGTTTGACTAAATAAATGTCGTGTCTTGGAAGGCTTTTCAAGGCCTGTCGGTCTCTGCGGGAGGTTCTGCAAACACGACGCATCACCGGCCCCTTGGAGTTAAAACAGACAGCGGTGAAGTGGTGGTGACTCACTCCAGCAGGTCACGGGGAGCGATGAACAACTTTGCAGCACTGAGGTCATATAATTCATCACCCCCGAGGCCCCGGGGCCACAAAGCAGCTCCATGCACAGGAAGTTACATACAGACCAGTTAGCTCCTCAAGCTCATGTGCAAGAAAAGAGTTTGTGAAGTCGTGAGTAGTCAGAAGTTTGAAGACGCACTCAACTGTGGTAATGGAAAAACAACCGGGGCAACTCTACCTCGACTAAAGACTAACAAATTGTAGCACTTAAATTGTACTTGTAACGTCACTCATCTATAGCAAATTGTAAATTGGCTTGTTTGAGGAAATTGCACTTTCTTGTTTCTTGTTCTCCTGAGTTTGTACCCTATGGTTGAATGCACTTATTGTACGTCGCTTTGGATAAAAGCGTCCGCTAAATGACATGTAATGTAATGTAATGTAACTATGCACACCCGTGTGACTCTGCCTCAAGGCAATTGGGACAGATTCTCAGCTCAGGTTCTCTCCGGCACACAGGACACATCCTGACAATTCCATCGGTTGTGTGTTGAATGTTCAGCTGGGAAACAGTCCTGTAAAACAAGTGAAAAAAGAAATATGAACACCAGATCCGAGTTAACATTCACTGCATACGTTCTCAATCAAATGTTCTGTTAGATTGAAATAGCTTCCTTTAATCGATTTGCACTGTTTATGTGGACTTGGCTTCAATTAATGACACCAAGATCATTTAACAGTGTATTTGCATTTGTCTCCAAATGCTTTTGAATGCTCCTGTTTTGATTAAGTCCTTATTTTGGTTTATGTGCCTATTATTATTTATTTATGTTTCTTACTTTTCTGTATTCATGTCTGACTGCTGCAACAGTGGAATTACCCTGCTGGATTATCTTGAAAAATATTCTTCCGCCATCATTCCCATTGTTTTTTGTGTAGCAGCAGTGGCCACGAAAAGGAAAATCATGAGCCAGTTTTTTCTAGCAGATCAAAGTAGTGTTTTAGTCAATTCAATTCAATTCATTTTATTTTGTACAGCCCCAAATCACACATTTTGCCTCTGAGGGCTTTATAGTCTGTACACATGCGACATCGTCTGTCCCGAGAACCCTCCCTCACATCGGCACAGGAAAAAATGAAAAACTCCTCCATGTGGAAAAAAGGGAATAAAGCTCAGGGAGAACGTCAGAAGAGGGATCCCTCTCCCGTGATGGACAGACTACAATGGATGTCATGATCCATTGTCCATGTCATTCAAATTTAAATCAATGTCCTCATTTACTATCACAACAAATTTGGTATGTGAAGACATTTCAATTTTAAAATGTTCACTTTACTGTACGGGTAGTGTAGCTTTAACACTTTGCTGCCATCCGGTGGAATATTGTATGGGGGCCTCAAGGTGCACAGTACATACAGTATTTTTAACCCTTTTTCCACATTATATATTTTGAATTTTTTGATGATATTTTTTTACCTAACATTTAGATTTGTTTTTTTTCCAAAATCTTTTTTGACCTAATATATTTCAGGTTTTTTCCATGACACCTTTTGACTTAATATTTTAAGGCTTTTTTACCATCACGTAATTTTACTTGACATATATTGACTTTAAAAAAACAAACATTTTTTAACCTAATATTTTCTGTTTTACTTCATATTTGTTACTTTTTTTCCATTACGTATTTTGACCTAACATATTTAGACTTTTAGCTTCAACATCAGTTCTTTGCTGCCATCCAGTGG